TAATAGAAAAACAAGGAAATTAAAAATACTTAAATGGAAGGAATGAAAAAATTGTCAAATATTTACTAAACAGTTTTAGATGAGAAAACAGTCACTTCAAAACCTAAGTACTGAATTGGTGCCTAATTCCAAAATGTTGCTCTCCCTCTATCAGTTTTGGACAAGTATAAGAAGTAGGTACTGGTGGGAACGAAAATGACCTAAGCAGGAAAATCTTATTTTTTTGCATCCATAAATCTAACAACTTAGTTGGCATTTGTGTTTTACCTTACAAACGTATTCTGCTGGAGAGCCATGGGCTTTCCATGAACTCACACAACCTCAAAGCACAGGCAGCACTCTCTGGGATGCTGTAGAAAATGTCCATAAATTAGCAGTAGAAATTGTCCATAAATTAACAATCCACAGATTAAATAATCTTTTATTTAACTTGAACTGAATGAAGCTGTTGAGACTGAGTCCTGGTGACTGGACTGAGTGAAGACTCACTTGGCAGTTGACGATGTCTTATCTAGGCAGCTATTTTGGGTGCTGTGACTCATCTCCTGGAGGTTCTTGCTTCATACTGACTATAAAACAAAATAAGGATCCTAAATTTAGATGCTGTGAACATGGCTGAAGGGAAATGGTGTGCCAATACTGCAGGATACAGCATCTCGGGAAAAACTGATGACTTTACCCATGGTGTACAACACCCTCATCTTACAACAGAGGAGGATGGTTGCTGCCTGCAGCGAGCCCTTTGCAGCCCAGAGGGGATGCTGAGCATGGAGGGGTTGCAGGCTCTGGCCCTGATGTAAATGTCTGGCTCTGGGGGCTTTTACCACCTTCACTCTCCTTCGAAGCACCTGAGTTTCAGAACATGCCATGCTGTCCTTCTTTGGTCTCTACCCTCCTCCACCCCAAATCTTCAAGCTCCTGGGATCAGTACTGAAAAGAGAAATTGGGAATTTAAACCATTTCAGATGAGCTCCTGGGGTGGGAGGGGGAGGGCATGGCTGCAGAATGCACTCTTCCAAAACATTTTTCCAAGACTCTCCATCTTCACAGTCCATCATACTTTCTTGAAATTAAGCCTATTATAGCCATAAACAAAACGAGGCTGGAAGAGGTTTTGAGGTCACTGAGTGCAACTCCTGCTGTCACAAGTGTTGCTTGTCAGAATTTGCATTTTTAGTTATTCCTCCTACAGAAGCTGCTTTTGCTTTGAGGTTTTCCCTTGCTATTCACACCAAACATGAGTTGTATCACTTCCAGTTTTTAAAGCCCTGCCAGTAAGGCCCAGTTAGAGGTCCCAAAAAGCAAAGGTTTCTTATTTATTTTGCTTTTTGGTTGGTTATTTATGTTGAGTAGTCCCCTTCTTACTTTAACTTCAGGATAGGGTGCTTGAAAAAAATAGAGCTGATGATTGTAATTTTTGTATCTAATAACATTACAAAGAATAATAATATTAGTTTAAGAGCATGAGCAAGTGGCCAAGGATTTTGCAGAATGCTGGTTGCTTTCCAAAGGAATCTGAGCGCGTAAGAGGAGTGGTCAGGTAGTTACCTTGCAGAAGAAGGTCAATGGACTCCAAGTGGGATCTTTAAAATAGGACTGCTGTGCGTTTTTAGGTAGCACACAGCCCCTGATTGACCCACGGCATGGTAAAGGATTTCTCTCTAAGTGACTATGATATTTCCTCCCTGTGGGAAGTGCTGAAGAAACTAAAAAGTAACAAAACCAGAAGTGAAGTGAATGCAAAACTCCCAAGTCCCTCAGTAAGCACTTGTGTAGCCTAAATAATGAATCTGTGTCAGATGAACTGTGACCTAATTTTCAGATCTGAACTTTGAGGAGTTTGGGTTCAGGCCATTTTCACGGGAGGTGTCATCAAGCCTTGAGAAGTCTAATTGTAATCCTGGTTTCAAAGTCTTCACAGCTTTGGTGAAGTTCAGATCCAACTCTAATCTCTGATATTAAACTTGATCGTACTTTGGTTTGCTGCCCCTGGGTGAGCTTGGATGGAAGTATATTGCATTTAAGTCCCTATTAAAATTTTCTATAGCAATTAACAACAGCCGGAATTAAGCCAATAACACGCATTTTTTCCTATCAACCAAGATTGCAAATAATGGCATATATTAACTCCCACAGATGCTCCTTAGTCAAGGAGAAAACAGTTGAAGAATGCAACATTTTTGGTGTCTGAGAAGGGCCAAGAAACCTCAACAGAGCAGACTTGCTTGTGAGATTGCTGATGCTTCCTGTTTCTGGTCAAGCTAGCAACAGAGCATACGCACAGAAAGCCACACGTTTGCCACATCTGAGGACAAGGGGAGGAATTTTCAAAATTTCTCCGTGACTTCAGTGCTTTCAGTAGTCCTCCCTTTCTCGTGACTGAGCCCTGCAGTGGGGAACCAGAGCAGAGTCTGTAGGTCTGAGGTGCTCCTCGGAAGAGTGAGGACCTGCCTGCAAAAAAGCTCTTCTGCTGCAAAGGGTGAAGCTGAGACTGTGGGAACGAGTTGTTCCCCAAAGTGCATTGCTGTTGATGTTGCTGAAAAGACGCAGCATTGTGCAAAGGATCAGCCTGGACTTTTTTTTCTTAGAACAGGACTGTTGTCAAAAATGACCTGCTTCAAAAAACTAGGAAATAAGAGAAGGAAAAACGATGAAAGAGTGAAGTGACTTGGCATCTGCCAGAAAGCGTGGGGGCTGCTGCTTGTCTCAGGGCCTTGTTTCAGAGAAAGCTACTTAACATTTTTATAACGGATGGCAAAATTGCATACTATTAATGGGCTCTCTTTATGGCTATAATTTATTCTTATTTCTCAGAGGCAATGGAGTAGAGGCCAGATTGCTTTATCCTGTGGCATTAAAAAGCCTGGGACTGAGAAGCTTAGCACTGCTTTGTCAGGATTTTCTCCATCTGGCAAAATAATAGAATAAAATCATCCTATGTGGAGAGCTTTTTCATTTTTTTAAAGAATGGTCTTTCTCTTTCAATTCAAAGGAAAAGGGAGGGGAGGGTATGGGTGAGTAAATATATATTTTCATTCATTATCTGCCTTTTCTATATTCAGGAGCTACGATTCCTGACTGCCAGGCTCACTTAAACTTCTCTGAACATTAGTCATATGTATGGAGGTGGAGGCAGATAGAAGTTAAAAACCTTATTTAGAGACATGGGAGGTTTATAGGGTCCAGAGGGGTGAGGAGATCCCAATGGACGTTACAATGTCATAGGCAGGGTAAGCTGACTCTTATAAAAATAAATTTCTTTCCTTTAAGGGGAAAAGAAAGAAAGAAAACACAGATTTAGTTTTCTTCTTTTTGTTTTTCCCAACCAATAATAGCAAAAGGAATTCTTGTTTTCATCAATGTTTATGAAAACAGAAAGTAGGTATCTCTCGCAGTGAATTATATGAATTTCTCATGACCCTTTGAAAGTTTCTTGTGTATTTTGAAGTCACCTGATCAATGAGATGAAACCTCACCAATACGTACCATCAGTTTCTGGTGAGGTAACACAAGTGACAAATTACTACTATTAGGAATATTTTGACTGTGCTCACACAAACTAAACTACATCAGTTGACAACATCAGCTAAGCCTAATGAATAAAACACTGGGTTTCTGAAGCCAGAATCTAAATCCATGACTAAGTGTTTTGCTGTGAACAGTTCACCAAGCTCTAGTCATGTAAAGGAAAGAAGGTACAGGTACACAAAGGGAAAAAATCAAATACCAGTGAAAATAGATCTTAGTAGGATCTCAGGAATGAAGGGAAAAGAGGA